AAGCGCTTTGAGTGGAGTGTCCAGAAAAGCGCTATATAAGTGTAAGCAATTATTATTATTATTATTATTATTATTATTATTATTATTAATTGGTTTCTGGGAAAACTTGCCCTGGTGCAAGTATGGGTGTCTATCTGCCCTGTGTTGGACTGGCCTCCTAATCCATGGTGCACCCTGCCTTGCGTCTGTTGCTTGCTGGGATAGGTTCCAGCTCTCTCATTCCCCTGAATTGTAGGAAGCACTTAGAAAATGGATGAATTGAGTTCTACCTGGAGGGTAAACATGAACATCTGCTCATTGAGTCATGCTAGTTCTGACCAGCACTCAGTGTATGTTATACAGCATGTTTAGGACTTCCAAATACTACCACCTGCTGCTGTGCAGAATCTGGTATCCCCGATTCTCCATGCTGTAGATCTGGTTCTGCAATCCAAGCTGAAGGTTTCATTGTAGGAGCCACTCTTTGATGGGGGGTGAAACATTTGCATCCCCATAATTGGAAGGCTGCATAGGCTCATGGTATAACTCACAGCCACACCTTATATTACTGTATATTTCAATGGATTTTAGCTGTGTTGGCACAAATTCAATTAGCATGATGCATCATTCTGCAAAGCACTGGCTATAAGTCATCGAATGCTGCCTGGGGTAGAGTTGAACTAGCTGTGAAATATTGTGGAAATGAAACATTGCTTTTTCAGTGCGTCGTCACAGAGCAGAGCCGACTCCCCCAGTCCCCTGGAGTATGAGATATGATTTGTCTGTTCTGTGTGGGTCAACGGGGCATTGTACTGATTGATACGAAAAAAATTAAAAGGCAGTGGTTTTAAATGGGCACCTTTGTCGCTTTTTTTTTTATTATGACTTCGAAGGGCCCAAATGCTAACCTGCAATTCAAAACACCCACTCGCTAGCTTTTCAATTTGGACTCCCAGAGAGATTGAGTCACAATTTAAATGTTTGGTGCTTTACAAGGCATTCGTTTACATTACAGACTTCTGCATGTCTGGCGGTTCTAAATTGACAGAAGTCCTTGTTTGTACAAAGGACAGGATAGTTAGGAATAGTTATGTGGCAATATAATAAAACCATTCTCTTTTATTCCACACACCCATTTACAATCTCCTCTCAGTTCTACTTCTTCTGTAAACCTCTTTGAGAAGCCCCTTTAAAGGTACTATATAAACGTAGGTTATTATTTATAATACTCAACCCTGCGTTACATACCTCTTGTCAACAGATATGAAAAATAGAAGAATTTCTACAGATTTTGTGCTGAAGCTATTTACTAATAATTTTGACCTTTTTGAATTTGACTAAATTCCTTTTCCAGGATCAAAAGCATTGATGTACCATGCAAAATCTGGCTGTTCAAACCGTATTTTATTTTTCTCCCCTTGCTACAGGGATCTCAAAATATAACTCTTTTCCCTTTTTTTTCTCATTTGTAAAAACTCTCAAAGGTCCAATTCTTTGTCATCAACTTACTGCTAGCATTTTGAAACTATTCTTGTTAATTGTACATATTTAAGTCAACGGGAACCAGCGTTTAGACTAACATCCTGCATGTACACATATTACTGTAGGTCATTGGAGTTGTTTTAGATACAGTTTTTACATTTGTCCTTGGTAGGAATATCAGCTAAATTTACCAACAGAACCAACGAACAATTTTCCTCTCATCATAGACACTCTCAGGGAGGGAAACACTTTTTTTTCCCTTGAAATAATATTTCCTACCTGTGATAAAAAAAGATCTACTTTAATATAGTTCAAGTAGGTAGCTGCATCAGCATGCACAGGCTGCACAGAAACAGATAAAGGTTTATTCTGTGCTGAAAAGAAAAGAGACAAAACTTTTCATGGAGCCTTTCTTTAGGTGTAGTACATCTTCATACAGTACCTGAAGAAGGCTCCATGGCCAAAACATTGTCTCTTTTCCTTTCAGCATGGAATAAACCTTTACCTGTTACTTCAATACAGTACTTCAGTGATTGAGACAGCTCAATCACAGGATTAATTCTAAACTGGGGATTGGTAAGAATCCAAGTTATTGGATACATATTGATTCAAAATGGATTATTAAGAAAATAGAAGGTAGTGATTGAAACTTATTGAAGTGGGATGTTATAAATTGTTGTTAACCACAGGGATTTTTTTTCTTATGTAGATGTCCCAAGATTGGTTTAGTTAATTTGATATATTTGCAAATGGTCCAAAATTGGCAAACCCAGTATCATAAAAAATAGTACAATAAGTAATAATATGCATAAAATATCAATATTAAAAAGTGGATGACACAAGGTTACATACAGATAAGAAGAATGATGCCTTTGAAGAAACATGGAACATGATATTGTCAATGTGCTGTTAGTGGTAATGAAGGCCCAGTGAAGCCTTAGCCTTAAAAACCCTTAAAACTCAAAAAGCTTAAAACTTCAAAACACTTAAAAGCAGGGAATACACATGAAACACCAATTTCCAACAATGCCTTTAGTCCTCGCCACTGTTCTACAAAAATAATTTGCTGTAATGGAACATCCTCAATTGAAAAGAACTGAATAATTCCCTGACTGGAAGGTAAGTCAAACATAAAATAATAAAAATAAAAATCACTCTTTAAACCTGGATGAGAAGATTTAAGGAAATTATGATTAGTGAATTAAAAATCCTGAAAGTCATTGACTATGTTAATCCAATAAACCTCTTCAGGCTCCACAAAGAAACCTAGCACAGCAGGAAACCAATTCAAAACACAAAAGAGGGGAAATGCCCATACTGTATACAAAGAGATGAGGGTTGGTTGTTAACACTATCTTTTAATCCAGTTTAATCGAATTCTTCAAAACATATGCTGACGGGACAAGTATTATGCAGAATAGTCTTGTTGTAGTCTTTATGTTAGCAATTCCTTTTAGCCTGTGAGGAAACGTTTTGCTTAGGAGCACTCTCAGTCTTGGAAAGCAGCACACCGATTGAATCAAAAAAGCCTTTTATTCTGAGAATTGTACATTTGTTCATGTGGCTGTCTCATTGGCTTTCCACAGTGGAATGTTTTGTGAGCATAACAGCTATTCGGAAACATATTGGAAGACTTATTTAAGCAGCAGTAGGATTCTTGGTGGGTTTTCAGTTGAACGAATTTTAGCTTTAACTGCCCTTATCTTTTTTTAACACCTAGCTCAAGATCTACATCTGTTAATCAATCATCAGAAAGGGGTTATAACCCCTGGCAAGGGCTGCAGCAACCCAGAGTCTTTTCATTAACAAGCACTGAGCAGAAAACAGGACAAGATTCTCAACAGGATGTACACATTGCAGGGCACGCATACAAGCACACAGTGACATGTAGTGATGTCAAGTACCATTATGGGAGAAAGCCAGAGCATACAGGGAGAACATGTTAACTCCACACAGAGGCACCTCACTCCAAAATCAAACCCAGGACCCCTCAGTTCTGAGGAAGCAGTGCCACCATTATACCCTAAATGTTTCCACATTCATTTTTTTCGTTAATCTACCTCCCTTCAGTATCTAACATTTTATGTAAGAACTTGCACAAGAAAAATATGTGGATCTTTGCAAACTGCATTATATTTATACTGTGTGGTCTTTGCCTGAAAGAAAGATATTTATATTTGACAGTTTTAGTTATCAGCACATTTCACATTTAAATACTTGAAGTTCTCAATCTCTAGTTTCAACCACCAAATACATTTCCTAATAATTACTATGAACATTTCTTGCCAGAGATTTTCCACTATGGTTAAAATAAATGGTCTGTTGTCATAAAGATTGAAAATGCAAATGTTATTGTTACTTCGTGTTCACTGCAAGTTCCATTATGCTTTTTCTTTTCTCTGTTGTTACCACGTAACAATGCCAATTGCCACTGAGTGCTACATCTGATGTTGAGGAGATTTAAGTTATCTAATAATAATAAGAGTCACACATAGCTTAATCGTAATGTTAAAAAACTCTAGTACCTTCACCACTTAATAGATCCCAAAATGCTATTCTTCTAAAACAGTTGAGAATATGAAAAGCTTAATGGACAGATACTGAAAAATAAAAAGGATGGATACATTAAATTTGAGTAATATGGTCCTATTACTGTGGTCAAAATGTGGCTTCAGAATAAAAAACAGTGGACATTTAATGAATGTGCTGTAGTTATGACTAAAAGAAACAATTGAGCTGAAGTTATTTACCACACAGAGTACAAATTAGTAAAATTTGCCAGCTGATGAAACATTACTCGAGCACATTATCCTTCCCAGACAGACCAGAGGGGCCTGCTTAAAGTTAAAAACCTTTTTACTCTAAAGGGCCCGAAAAATGTTGATTTCAGATGTAGAAAATCTTCATCCTCACCAATTGTCAGTTCTAGCCTAAATAAAAGCATGAGCCTGTAACCCATCCTAGCAATACACTAACCATAATTCTCAACATGTTACTTCATTTGAATTGGAAACAAAATGATGCGAAGAACACATTTTTTAAAACAAGACCATATTTATTTCTTTCAAATGAGCGGAAGTCATTTTTAGCATTATGGAAATGTTGCATGCATCTGTACATTGCTGCCGAATTCCCTTGACAAAAAAAAAAAGCTGACAACTGAAATATTATTCAATTGAACACAAAGAATGGTTATTTCCAATAACCAAAAAAAAACTTCCTAGAAAAAAAAGATTTCAGATCAACTGATTAGTAAATCAATATTTGAGTAGTGTCAGCATTGTACAGAAACAGAACATATAACAGAAGCCTGCTTGAGTAAGTCTTTGTTTTTAGCTCTGACCATCTTCCTGGAGATAAAGGACATAATGGAAAAGGAAGGGATAATATATAAAGAGAGCAGCAAGGAGATGCAGATTTTTGCTGAAAGCAAAATTGGTTAACCAGGGAATGTAAAAGACTGCACATCCAGGGCCACAAATCATCCAATTATAGGTATCAAATAATCAATTTCTAAAGACAGAATAATCTGAGATCACTTAAACATATAATTTGATAAATGAGCAATTTCTAAGTCAAGCTGATACATACATTTGAATATGTATTAAACTTCGAGTTTCCATAACTAAACAAATTATTTGCTTAAATGGTCAATAACTTACAACTGTTCCCAGTCTTCTGAATCAGCAGTTTATTCTATGGAGGGGGTTGAGTGGAAAAAAGACCTGTTAGTTTGGGTGTCCTCTGCTAGTTAAAACATCAAGTTAATCTTTGTAAATCACCTTTAAGATCCACTGCAAGGAGCATTAAACTATCCTGGATAGTAAACACGGTATTGTAGGGCACCGAATGGCATGACTGACAATGTCTGGAGCTCAGCTACACACAGTAATACAAGGAACAGTTTTCTAACTAGAGTTGAAAGGCAGCTGGCATTGCTGGAATGCTTATTTATCACCATTACCTTAACCCTTCAAAAAAAAGCCTGTCTGCTCTTGTTTCAGTCTTTTCTTTTTTCAAGTGTATCAAGTGGCTCTTGGTCTTGGCTCAGTGAAAACTGCTTTTGTTGCCAAGGTCAAGCCAAACTTCTTTTAACCCAGGATGCAGCAAGTATGGGTTTCTTTAACTGCTTAATTGTGAGAAATTTTCAAATGAAACCTCTCTTCTGCCCTTGAAATCTTCAACACATTCCTTTTGTTAACTTTTGTTAATATAACAAAAAAACAGACTGACCTACTAATGAATGTACTATATCTATATACTGTATCAAGAACAGGCAGAGAAAAACCTACCCAGTAGAATGCTTGGTTTAAAGGGACTACTATGATTTGTAATACAAGAAAGGCAGGGACCTCAAACCCATAATGAGTTTAAATGATGTCATTTCCTGGACCTTTGCTGGTGTGGCCTAGCATGTTGTTTTTTCCTGAAACCAAATAAGGTTTCAATTTGTAACACGCCTCTTGCCCAGACATCTTCCATTTTAACCCTTGGTATCAAAACAAAACAACTTCCACGAGGACCTTCTTCCTCACACTTTAACTGAAAGCACTAAGATAGGATATTGCACATATCTCTGATCACACACATATTATTAAAACTGTTACATTACAACAAAGATTATGGCACCTTGCATTACACAAAATCGAACAAAAACATTCAACCACAGACAATGAACACATTGGAAAGCCTGATTTGAACTAATGTGCTTCTGAAAAAGCTTTGCATTACAACACAGGTTCACTAGGGCCTCATCACAGCAAGACATTGAAAGGAAGCACGTGCATTCAGAATAATAAGGACTGTCTTTAACATTATGATACACACCTTCATGAGTCATTTGAATTTCTTTTCTAAAAGTGATCTGCTTAATACACATATCTGTAAAGAAATGCATATATTTCATTTGGTAGTTTTCATACAGAGCCTAAATATTTTTAATTCTAGATCTTCCGTCGAAGATCAAAGCTACTGGTTACTGCAGCTATTTCCAAATAAACTAAAAAGCAGAATACTTCACCCACATATACGTTGGCATTACTTGCCATTTAATTTTAGTAGGCTTAAGACTAACAGAACTCAGAATTATAGCATCCTACAATTAAGCTAGATTTTTTATTGCTTTGAGACACAAATGACCCTAACATTTGAGCAAGCTAAAAGAAGGACCTTTGTGTTGTGGCACAACTGGTGAATGAGCCAAAATGAACTACTAACCATTTCTTCTTTTTAATGAATACCAAATATTGTTTCTAAAAGTATTTAAAGTACATGATTTCAAGTTCTTCCAGACAGTAAGTCAGCATTGCCCCTGCAGGGGGCGGTTTTGGTAATAGATTTTGTACTCCATATTCACAGTTTGTTGTTGTTGCTTTGGCACAATTCCGAATGAAGAGTCTGAAACAGTTTGCCACCACAGGTCAGATCAATGATTTTCATTACAAGTGTTACTCGGAACAGAAAAACAAAAAACAGAAATACTTTTACAAGAAAGAGGCGGACTGCACTGATGGACTGAGGCACTTCGTTGATGTGGTCATTTGGCTGGTCTTTTCCCTGCCTATTTTTCACTCCCTGTGCCTGTTTCTTCCCCTGTCTGTTTGGGCCTCTCTAAGGCAGGAGTCAGAACCAATTGACCTCAACGTCAAAGTAAGTCACTTCTCTACTACTTTCAGTATCCCTCCATTCTTTTATTCTAGTTTAATCACAGTCACCCCTCAGCAAATAGGAGAGAGAACCCAGAAAGAAGAACACCAGTTGTTTTTAGTGTTAAAGCTGTGCCTGTCTCATAGACATCATGCTTGAAGTTGTGAGGCACGTTGAAGTGTTTAATTTCTTGCCTAGAGCATTTGCCATGGTTTAAATACTGTTCAGTATAGTATGCAGAACATCTCCTAGCTCATCCATTCTAAAACAGTCAGTAATACGTCAGATGGAAGGGCCAAAATGGTAGTTTGGTAGGAAATGCGGAACTTATTTACCAAAAGTCACAAAAACTAATCTCTAAAAGCTTGGACTTTTTGCTTGTAATAAATAATATTTAAAAACATCACAAATTCATTTCACAGAAGCTTTCCCATGCAATGCAAAGTTGGATGTAGCACTCACAGTGCATAGCTGTTTGAGCCTTTCCAGGTTGTCATGGTGCTTCTAAACTCCAGCCAGTATTGGATCCTGAATACTGTTTCCCTGTTACTTTATATTAAAATTGCATAGTTGTGGAGTTAAAATATTTTAAAAATACATTGTTTTTTGCTTCTTAATCAGTACAATATGTACAAGGGCCTACAGCTTGCAAAACCTGGAATGGATCAAACTGCTATGCAAAGCAGGTCCCTACAATGGCTCAACAGTTTATGTCAAAGAGTGTTGACAATATGTAAAAAACTGGGCTATTCTTGTCCAGTAAACTAAAGTGCAAACAACTTACTTTATCCAAATACATTAAGTGAGAGAAAAAAAAACGCCAAAAAAACTGTAACCTAAACAGAACAGTTTCATTTGTCTGGAACTAATTGCTTGGTTTTCTGGAACAAGTACAGACAGTATGGGCCAGATCTACTAAGTCCTGGTACAGCAAGCCATACAAGCAATTTGGCAGTGCTCTGGCTCACACTCTGGATGTGACTGATTGCTTTTGAAAGGTGAAGTGAGCTACGTGAAGTTTCCTCACTCATATAAAGTAAGACGGACAGTCTGATCTGGCAGAAATTGTGAGCAACCTGAAAAATAAGACAGATTCACAAGTCTGCTGTTGCTATAGAATGGAAACTCGCTGGCTTGCATGCCTCTATAATATTGCCCCCAGGACATGGTGCACAGAGAGCAAGTTTTATATAATTGTTTTCCCACATTGACATGAAAAAAATGCTGAGAGCTGTTTTTTTTTCACCAAAACATTAAAAGCAGACATGGCCATGATATATTTCACCAATCTCCCTTTCCCCTGACAAAAGTCAGCCTAGACACTGAGCACAGCCCATGATACTCCCACCCCCACATTCCATAATTTTAGCTTATGCAAAGCAGGAAAAAAGTGTTACATACAGACTGATAAACCACTCATTGATAACACAGGAGCTTGGCCTGATGGACGCGAGACAATGCTACAGGAAAGAGGTGTTTTCTCTGGGAAAACATGATTGTTCTTGGCAAGTGATCTTCTCGAAACTGACGGCACTAAAATCTCTGGTCGCTGCCTGTGGTTAACGATGGAAAATCAGTTCTGTGTAAGGGGAGCTTGAGCCTGGCACCATCTCTTCACGGAAACTCCACTGGAACAACTTCTGCAGCCGGTGAGAAGGTGTCCAACAACTGGGGGGGTTTATAATAGGCACAAAAGATTTTCTTTGTTTCTTCATAATTTGGCAGCAATGACATGTGGAAAAGATATTCAATCCTTTAACAATATGAGGACAGAGGCACTGCAAAGTAGTAATTGGCACTACTGCCCCCTATTGTCCTTTATGCCTTAGACATATAGTTCTCCCCAAAACAGTACATTTTCACATGATTTGGAACGTGAGCAAAGCCTTTTTATATTCATAAAACTACAAGCGTGAGCAAACTGCAGGCCAAGGAATGGCATGAAGGGAAATTGTCCATTTATACCACAGCTCATTTCTCAGATCTAGCTTTCATGGCTTTGGGGTCAAAAGGCAGTTTCTTGCACACTGGAAAACGCAAATATTTAGTAACTTACAGATTCTTTCACAACTTATAAACTGGAACCACTGCAAGGCATCAAAGGCATATTCCCATCACAGAATAAAGAAACATCTTTTTCTTATTTTCCTTCTGTAACATTGCAGGGAACGTTAAACACAGTGTAGCTGAATGATGGGCACTTTGGATATAATGAGGCTTATAGTTTTAGTAGTGGTTTCCTTATACCACGATTTCAGCAAGGCAAATGTTCTGGAAAGAAAGGCATTCACCGTTTTTTGTTTAATTTGCACAGATAAGCTGGTTTGTAGGGACCGAAAACAATCAATCGTAAAATAAACCAAAAGTCTTTAAAGTAATAAGATCTGTACATTATATACAATTATTTACAATTCATTCCATGTCATGATAGCTTACATTGGCACCATAAACTGAACACCACCGTTTTGGATGGTGTTAAAAAAATAATGCAGAAGCATGACACAGGATGCAAACAAAAGGACAACAAAGAAAAAGACAAACAAAAAGTTAGGATGTTAGTCCTAGTGGTAAACAATGTCTTGATCCCTTTTATAGAGAAAGGAGGCCACTAAGGCCTGCATTCTCAACAGCGGTAGGAAGAAGGCCAGTTTCCTCCAGGGGTTTTACAGCAAGCAGATGAGGTTCTTGCCTTCTTCAATCTCCTCCTGCACTTTGTCACTGGAGGTGGCGATTTCGGCCTGAGCGGAGAACACTGCGCAGATGAAGGTCAGCACGGTGCCACCTATGGCTGTGTAAAAGGCCCAGCCCAGGGAGCATTGTCCCACCTTGTAGGGGGAGGCCTCTGTCCCGCAGTAGTTCAGCACCTTGTCGGACCCCCAGCCAGCTGGGTACAGCATCAGGCCTAGAATCAGGAAGAGACCTGGAGAGAGAGAGAGAGAGAAGGCAAAGCAGTTCAGTGACTTTACTTTAAATCTAATCCACACACTTTACTGAAGATTGGACAAGCAGTTAGAAGAGGCCCAAAAAATAAAAATCTGGATAGACTCAATAAAACTCTAAATGTGCCAAGTCATGAAATGACCGTGTCAATCATAGCAGATACCATTGTGGTGGTACCATTGTGGTGGTAAATGTATTTGAAGTGAAGCAGTTTCGATGTAAAGATGGATAAAATGAAAAACTGCAAAGTCAAAAGTGTTTGAACAATGCTTACCAACAGCAGTCACTGCCTGTGAAGACGGTCGGGCTGACATTATGGCTAAAGCAATAACTTGATTTTAAGATTTCCTCGTGCTTTTCATGTCTTATTCTCAATATTTGGATTGTGCTGCATCTTCTGTAACTGTGGATAGTCGCAGCCAAACAATTTAATGGATAATTTACAATCCTCTATGACTAACATGCTGAAAATCAAACCAATTAACTCTATAATTGACTCAAACAAACAATTAACTACTACTAAATTCATACCACAAAATGTGGCTCTCTGGGACCAGGGATGAGAATCGCTTAGTCTGTCATTTACAAGGGTAATTTAATATTCCATACCAAAAGGTTCTAACTTATACAACAAAGCCATGCTAAACTAAACTATTATTGACTGAGAATTATGTGTTCATATTTTAAAATTTCATATACTGTACATAAAACACAATAAAAATACTATTCATAGATATTTATACAAATGATAACCACTTATTTTCTTGTCCAAAATGCTTTTAATCCTTTTAATTTACTTTTACCCGACCCTCCATTGTCCACCTGTTTTATCCAGTGCAGAGATATGTTGGAAGCCAGAGTCTATCCTGGCAAACAATGGGCGCCAGATGGAATAGACCTGAATACTCACACTTTGGGAAAAAAACAAAATATATTTCTGTTGCTAACACTCAACTCAGGTGTTCTTTTACTGTTTGCTCCATTTACTTTCACCCGCATTTCATTTCATGTGATACTTTCTAAGTACAGTGTGTACATGTCTAATTAGATAATAATTAGGTGATTAAAACATCAAAAATTTACTTAAAGCCTTCACTAGTGTCTAGTACTATTAAAAAAGACTGCTTATTTTGGATGTAAATAAACCTTGTCACTAAGCAGTCTTTAGCTCACAACACCTCAGGTTAAACTATATGATTTATATATCAGATGTAATTGATATATAAATGATGAACAGCAGACATTTGAGTTTATTCCTCTCCACACATTTAGTTAAAAAGACTACCTTTCCTACAAAATACAGATCTATCCTGATTAACTATTTAAAACTAAATGACTGAAATTTCAGTAGCAGATCACCATGAAGTTGTTTTTGCATAAAGACAGCAAGTCTACCTCTTTTGCACAGTTGTTTATGTAAATATGTTCCAGGTATGAAACAGTTATTGCACCTATTGTCTTTGTATTGTGTTTTGTTGAAATGAGGTGTAGTAAGGGCATCTGAAAATCAAGGCCTAAAGCAACAGGAAATGGGAACCACCTTTATTTTAACAGGAAATATTTTTATTAAAGGAAATTATTTTTTCCAGACAGATAAACCAAGTAGTGTGCAATAACCTTGACCCTTATTTGCCTCAGTTGTCTTTCAAGAACTCATCTTGAGATAGCGATCTGCTTAATGTTAATACAATTTTATAGCTATTGAAAAATACAATAGTTATTATTTTGCTGCAAATTTTATTTCAGATAAATTTAGATTAGGGCAGCACAGTGGTGCAGTGGTTAGCAATGCAACCTCGCAGTGCTGGGGCCCAGGGTTCAATTCTAGATCTGGGGTGCTATCCACGTGGAGTTTGTGTGTTTGCCTTGTATTTGAATGGGTTTCCTCCTAGTGCTCTGGTTCCTTCCCATTGTCCAAAGACATATTGGTAGCTTCTGTAAAATTGGCCATTGTGTGAGTGTGTGCATGTTTGTGTGTTTGTGTTTGCTTGTGAAAGGTGCCTTGTTCCCTGTGCTTCCCAGAATAGGCTCCGGGCCACTGTGACCCTAAATGGGATAAATGGGCTTTGATGGTGATGGATGTTTAAGGTGCTAATTTTAAGGCATAAACTAAATGACTATTAAGATTAATAAGAGACTGAGCCATTTGAAATAGTGAAATAGCCTGCTTTGGAATAAGCACTACACATTCTCCTGATTTTTTTGCTCAACCTTGCTAGCTCCCAGTTTGGTTATTTACATGAATTGGCTGTAAACAACAGCCAATTCACTGATCTGTACTTGGTGGAGGAAGTAATTCTACCACACTTTGAAATGACCACTGAGGAAATCCCTCATAGTGCCGGGAGCTGTGTAAGCACAGTAGTGATGCACAAAGCTTCTGCCACTGGCCTTCCAAAACCAAAATTATTTGAACTGCTTTGAATGACAGCCCCCACAATGTGGAAAAAGAGAATACTGACCCCTGCTGGTCCACAGTGGTGGTCATAGTAGTCCTCAATGCTTCAACACTATAGTACATTTGTCACTTACAGTACACACTCAATATTTTCAATTGAAACACTTCTGCCCTCATAAAAAACTGAAATAAAATGAGGGAATTTCACCCTAAATTGGCTACTCATGTTTTCCAAGTAAGAAGGTATGAAAACAGTAAAGTCCTATTGAATTATTCAAAAACAATACGTTTCTTCACCCACAATTAATAAAAAATACTCTATATAGCACATTGAAAATAATCTCAATGTACTTTATAATACTGTACATGAAACAATACTGTCATAATAATTGACCAACTAATCCACTGGCAGATATTTCAATTCTTGAAGCATTTTTTTAAGTATAGTGTCATTATTTGCAATTCAGTATAAATATTTAATATATAACAGAATGTTCCAGAAAACCACTACCTTAAACTGGGGGTAAATATGAGACAAATGAAACAGCCTTGATTTGTTAAACAGATACTTCCAGCCTGCCTTTCCTCAAGAGGTCACCGCTTGAAAACAACAGGAACAGAGCCAGGTTTATAAAGCTGCCTCTCTCAGCCATTGACTGCTACTGCTTTCCGGTGTTCACCAACAATCTCTTAAGGAGGATAGGGTTCTTTCCATTAGTTCACTGACACAATTTCTTTAAAACAATTGCTTTAACTCTTGAGCGTCTAGACAACAAAGAGAAAGTGAATTTACTGACATAAAATGTTTGACAGCACAGAAAAATATCTATGTTGCTGTTTTGTATATATGATCAGCCAGAATTTAGCCTTAGCCCAAAAATCAACTTTTGTTTTAATTATTTCTTTTTATTTTATTGCAAAAGAAGTTTTCCAAGCTAGGAACCTTCTAGTGTTCTGTTGCCTAAATTATGTTTTCCGCTGTCAGAATATTTAATATTAAATATATTAAAATACTAAACATCTTCAGCATGTACAAGCTGAAAATAAAAAAAAACACTTCAAAATTAAAAAAGCCTCAACCAAGGTTTTCCAACAGACATGAACATTACCTAATCCCCCCAATATTTGCACCACAGTTAAATGTATACCTAAAATCAGCAAGAGGAGTATTATGGACTCAACTCTTAATAGCTATATGTTAAGACATAAATGTTCATATTATATGTTGCAGACAGCCTTTGTTAGAAATTAAACACAATTTGATTCAAGATTAATGGAAAATACTTTTCATTCAAAGCTGTGTTGTTTATCAGTACTATCATTAGCCAATACTCAGATTGAAGTCGCCACTTTTACACGCAAGGATTTATCAATGGAACCTTTGTTACTACTAACACTTTTAAAGATAAAAAGATAATTTGAAGAGATCGGAAACACTCAAGAATATACAGCATGCAACAAGAGTTCAAAAGATGATAATTACAGGAGAGCTTTGAAATCCTGGTGTTTAGACTGATTGACTACATCAACATCTGTTCAAGTTTCCAGTCTGGAATAGCGATTTCCTCTCGTCACATGATGGCAACGCATTCTCCCTACAACACTGGACTTCTCAAAGGCTCCAAAAGCAGCTGGAAAAGGTCTCAAAACTCTAGCCTTTACTCTGTCCCTGTGGTAGTCACATTGTTTCTCTCTCTCTTCTTATTTTCCACACAGATCCACACAATAAGCCTTGTTAGCACAGTTCAGAGACGCAAGACCAATCTCATTACAGTACTGACACTGAGCACATGACATCTGGATCCCACGGGATCCCACCACAAGTCCGAAACAAAGCCTTTTCAGTCCAGCCAGTGAAAAATAAAACACGAAAACAAAAAGATCATATGTCCCATATTGTTTCTGTTACTTTACTTTAAGACATAAGAAAGGGTACAAATGAGAGGAAGCCATCTGGCCAATGTAGCCTGTGTGATTGCTAGTTCTATTCATCCATTTTCAAACCATGTCATCCAATACAGGGTCGGGGTGGGGGTGGGGGTGGGGGGGTGACCTGGAGCCTATACCAGAGAGAAGCAGGGTACCTCAAGGGCAACTTTTCTCAGAAACGCAATGAACCTACCAGTAGGTTTTAAGACTGTGGGAGGAAACCAGACCATCTACAGGAAAACATGGAGAGAGTATATGCAAACTCATGCAGACAGCTCCCCAGGTCCAGAACTGAGCCCAGGGCCCCAGCAATTGCTGAAATACAGCAATGCTAAGCACTGTGCAATTTTTTCTTTCAGTTTTATTTGTAAATGGTTTCTTCCCCTGCCACATTTTTCAATATGTTTTTCACTGGACTATTTTTTGAAAGGTAATATTAACAATCTAAATATATATGTGTATGATTATGAAGAACAGGATATGAAACTGAAAATCATTTAAAATGAACATATATGAAGTTCTACTAGGTATGTCAAAAATGTCATGTGTCCCATAAAATATAATAATAATTTCTTACACTCTGGAAACTCCACACTCTGCTTTACAGGTAATGGGGACTCCCCTTATCACCACCAATGTGCAGCATCCACCTG